TAGATTGCCCAACCTTCCTTCTGAGGAGTGGCTGGTGGGTTTTAACCACCAGCCTTCTGGTTAGCAGTCAGGTGCCTTAGGCACTATGCCACCAGAATGTCTAAATGCAATGTTGGCTTCTCTTTTCACAGAGATGGAGGCATCCACTGCAATAGTCCTTATAAGTGGCTAGCTTCCTGATTATCAGTTAGAGGCTGACCTCTAACAACCCTCAGAGCAGCTGCCAAGATTTCTGGAATCTACACTAGGCCAAGAATTTTCCATCTGCTTTCCCAAATTTGACTGACTATAATACAGTATAGTATTACATGATCTATAATAAATATATACTTAAGACTATTCTGACAATATTGCTATTGTAATGCATGCTTATACAGTAGATCAGTCATTTGTTTTCATTCCTGATATTCAGTCCATAGTTGTCAGTCAGGGAGTTGAGACTAAAGCCAACAAATTGGAAAGTAGTCGTAATGTGTAAGCAGGATATAGTCTTGCTTCTTAGAGCAAAACAATTGATTCTTATGTTATTTCTACCATGTCTGAGAGCAAGAAACAAAATCCCAGAGGAAGCGTGAAATATTGTTTGGATTCCCATAATCCTGCCTAGTTTATTTACAATTCCCTCTTTCATCCTTCCTGCCTGTCCAGATGGTTTTCTTCTTTGTTTCCCAAACTGAATTATGTTGACTGCCTTTAAGATGACGAATACTTCACAAGCTTTCCTCTTCAGTTCCTCGCAAACAGGAGTCATAAACTCTTACCTTTGCCGAATTATGCTGGGATTAGCTGTCACTAGATGACTTTTGGACCCAACATCTTTAATGTATTCACTTGACAGGGGAGGAAGATTGCATCTAGAAAAACAAGAATAAACATTTTAGAATGATTTGCATGCTTTTTTTAAATCAAGTCAGTTATAATGACCCAAATAGGAACTTTATTAATTCTAGCTCAACTCACAAATAACTGCTTTTACCACCCTCCCTTTTAATAGACATTGGATGACTAATTACCATCAGCATCTGAAGATGCCGTCATAAAACTAACCCTATTTTAGAAGAAAGAAAATGTCAGCTAGAGGGGTAAATGATCTATGAAGGGAAAGAGGCAGAAACTACAATGTATTTATTCCATTAAAAATACCTTGGAGGTTACTACCTCAAAATATTAGACTTGAAGGCAGAGTTCAGAAGGGTCTACTGCGTAAGAAGACACAGGCCCAGGGTGTTCTCTGCATGCCCATAAGCCTCAAGACAAAGAAAGAAATTCTATTTGTACTTTCCTTTCTTTTCCCAACATCTAAATTGCAATAGTACATTCAAGGCAGTACATTACTCTACCATCTACATCAACACAAGTCTCACTTTTGTGTGTGTGCCCAGTGCATGGGTTGATTACTGGAGAAGACATAAAGATTTGTGATCTAAAGTATATGATTTTCCACTATCCCAGTTGCCAAGGGAAAGCATAGAGATGATGTTTTCCTGGTGATGGAAACAGCCCCTGTGTACCTCTTGTACCAATTGCTTTACCAGGCCACAGTGTCTTATGAACATTTACAACAGAAAATTACAGCCATCATAAACCCAAGTTTCATGGCTTACTGATTGTGTGACATCAGGCAAGTTAGTTCATTTCTCTGGCCTCAGTTTCCCCATTACATAGACTGAGGATAATAACTTTCCCTCTCTCATAGGATTATTGTAAATATTAAAAGTGGCCATCCAAGGTACAACAAGTGGTCTCTACTCATCTGGAGCAAGAGAGGAGGAAGGACAGTCAGGAATAGGAGGAGGATATAAAATGTATGGCTAATTGCCTCCTTTGCTGTGAGACCAGAAGAACTTGATAGATCCTGACTACCACTACTGAACGTATTAATCAATATTACATAGATGAATTCTGATCAAAAGGCGGGGGGGGGGAATGCAGAGCAGAATTTTAAATTCTCCTGGATTCTAGACATTTTGGAGCCATGAGAGGTGGATGAGCACCTGAAACTATTGTCGAGATAATCTTTAAACTTTAAATCAAAAATATCCCCTAAAGTCATCTTAAAACTAAACATTAGTTTAGCTTAACTAGTAAAATATGGCTGTC